GGACCGCGGTTCAATCCCCCAGCACCACATGCCAGCCAGCCCCGCCCCCTGGTGGGCTGAGCTGGCCATACACACACCCACACACAAATAAATAAATAAAATAAATTTAGAAAAAAAAAGAGTGTATTACAAGGTAATAGTGGGGATGGCAAGATAGCTCAGTGGTCTAAAGTGCCTCCTTAGGCAAGCTTAGGCAAAGCTCAGGGACCAGAGTTCGATCCCTGGCACCATAAGCCGCACCAGCCCCGCTCCCAGGGTGAGCTGAGTAAGCTGGCCACACACACACACACACACACAATCTCTTCTAATTTAGGGCTGGCAGGATAGCTCAGAAGACTAAACACCTGCTTTGACAAGCGCAGAGACCAGAGGAGTTTGATCCCCAGTCTTACATGCCCTGCCAGCCCTGTCCCCAGGGTACACTGAGCCAGGACTCAATCCAGGTGTGGTGGTGCACACCTGTAATCCCAGCATTGAGGAGGCTGAAAACAGGAGTATCACTATGAGTCCAAGCTGTGTAGTGAGACCCTGTACCAAATACATTAAAAAAAAAAAGGGTAATAGCAGTACATATTGATTACATTTATCTTGGAGAGCTTATACATGTACATAACACATATTAAATTTTTTTCCCTTGATGCTAGTGGAACTAAAACTTGGGTTTCATCATTTGTTCATGCATTATTTTACCCATTCATTCATTCAACCCATCATGAAAGCTCCCTTAGGTTTCAGGTACAGAGAATGGCAGTGATCATAAAAAAGATGAGAGTGCCAGCTAAATAGCTCAGCGGATTAAAGTGCCTGCAAGCAGGCACAGGGGCTGGGGGTTCGATCCCCGGGCCTGCCATGCCAGCCCTGCCCACAGGGCATGCTGAGATGGCGATTGAGACTGGGCATGGTGGTGCACTCCTGTAATCCCAAAGCTTGCATGGCTGAAAACAGGAGGATCACTGTGAGTCTCAGCTGTGTAGTATAGTGAGGCCCTGTAGGCCCTGTACTAAATACATTTTTTTAAAAAGATGAATATGAGAAAGTTTCTCAGGAGGATCACAGTTTATAGATTTATTTATTTTATTTTATTTTTTTGGTACAGGGTCTCACTACACAGCTTGGACTCCTAGTGATCCTCTTGTTTCCAACCTCCCCAGTGCAGGGATTACAGGTGTGCACCACCATGCCTGGTCTTAGTGTCAGGCTCAGTGCATCCGGAGGTAGGGCTGGCATGGCATGTAGTAGCAGGGATTGAACCCAGTCCCTGCGCTTGCCTAAGCTGGCACTCAGTCTGCTGAGCTACGTCAGATATTTCTAAGCAAATCCTAACTGGAACACAAACATCCTTCTCTGTAGCTATCCGTGAAAATGTCATTGTTTTCACCATTATCAGCTGACATAATGGTGTTGGCCCCAGGGTGTGGATCAGTGACAGAGCCCAAGCTAAGCATGTACAGGGTCACAGGGTTAATGCAAAGTAGCAAATAAAACACAAAACAAACACACAAAACACTTCTAGTGTCAGGTCTGTTCCAAGCCCTTTGCACAAACATTGTACTATCCACAGTCACCCAGTGAAATGGGTGCTGTACTGTGTCCATTGTAAAGGTGGGATGTCACAGAACCTGCTGTGCTCATAGCTTCCCTGAAGTCACACACTCTTCTGACTTCTCAAGTGTCTCCTCCACCACCTGCTCTGCCACCCTGAATAGACTCACACCTTCTCCAACTTGTGCGAACTATTCATTTCCTCCGTAGAAGAATGACCATCTATATAATGTCACCCATTATACACAAACTGAAGATTAATTGGGTCCCAGATATGAGGTCAGAAGATGAATCAGGGCCAGGGAGATAGCTCAGTGGCCTAAGTGCCTGCCTGGCAAGCACAAGGGCGTGAGTTCGATCCCTCAACACCAAATCACTCGATGTTGAGATCCTGATCAGCTACCAATGCCTAGCTCCAGATGTGGTTGTGAAAGTTAACTGACATTACATGTATAAGTGTAAAGTGCACTTCTAACACTGTACTTATACATTAGGAATTAGTTATTATTCATTCAAAGAGTCAATTGAATCTAAATATCTGTCTCAGAGATATAGCTGTTCTGTGCTCCATCCTTCTTACCTGCATGTAAAAACTGTAAGAGTTAGTATCATTTTTGATTCCTTTTAACTCAAAGAAAAATCCATATATGGAAACAGTCTTCGAATGCGTGGTATACTCCTACATTGGAAAGAGAAGTAAAGTGAAAGGGGGCAACTGTTAGTATTTAAAAGGAATTAAACATAGGAACACAAATTCTACTGACAACAAAGGTGACTCATTTGATAATTGATTTAAATGAGAAGATACAATAACAATCTTATCCTAGAAGTATAAAAAGCACCAAATTGTAGTGACTTCAACTTTTGGTAGGTATGATTATTAATCCTGATTTGCCAACATCAGGGAATTAAGAAATGCCCAGCTCAGGGCTGCAAACCTATGGCACACATGCTGCCGTGGGCACGTAGAGCCCTCATTGTCCACACACAAGCCAAGCACCCCAGCAGGACAGCATATAGTAACCGCTAGCCTGCATGTGCACACTTGGAAGGGGTAGCAGCGCCAGGTGAGGAGGTCATAGCTGAGACTTATTAGCTGTAGCTATGTGACTGGTCAATCTGTTGCTAAGGAGATCTATCTATCTATCTATCTATCTATCTATCTATCTATCTATCTATCTATCTATATCTGGCTGTGAGTTTTAATACATTCATCTTGGGGGACTGAGGAGATAGCTCAGTAGAATAATCACTTGCCTGACAAGCACAATGACCTAGGTTCAATGCCCGGTTCCGCAATAAAAAACAAAAAGCAAAAAACATTCTTTTTTTTTTTTTTTTGGTGGAACCAGGGATTGAACCCAGGCCCGTGCACTTGCCAGGAAAGTGCTTATTCCGCTGAGACGTCTCCCCGGCCCTCATCTTTTATTAATACAACATTCTAGCTTTGAGCTTTCTTTTGAAAACATTTATTTATTTATTTGGCCTGATCTTCTTTTTCTAGAAGTTTGAGGTTCACACACAAAAAAGAAATTTTATATCTAAGATTTAGCAAAGACATGTTCTAAATTAAGAGACTGAGATTCTTTTAATGTTATGCTGTCCTGTCCCTCTGGCATGTTTTGAGTCCACAGCATCATACTTAATTTGTGGAAACAAGATTCCATAAAAACACATTTATGAAAACCAGAACAAACAACATATACTTGTTTATTTTTAGGTTTTACTTTTTTTTTTTTTTCCTTATTTTTTGTGGTACCAGGGATTGAACTCAGGACCCTGCACTTGCCAGGCAAGCACTTATTGTACTGAGCTAACTCCCTGGCCCATATATTTGCTTAGACTGTGATTTTAGTAGAATTATCCACAAGCTAGGAAACAACTCAGGTTCCTTTCCCAGAGCAGGCCAAAAGCTGGTGGGCTGTGTAATGTTGCCCCCTTGTGCGGTGGTCAGAAAATTCAAGGAGAATTTTCTTAACTGGTAAGTTAAGTACCACTGCCATGGATCATCGCTTCAGGACTATCCAGTTTTTTCATGGTAATTAATAGTATTGGGGCTATTTTGGGTACAGGGATAGATTTGTATTGGGTATTTCTTTTTACTTTTTTGGGGGGAGGACCCCCACTCAGGATACCTTCAGGGCAGGTCTGGTTTGGCTTGAGGATGGCCTGACTGCTTTGTTTCAGCAGGCACTTAAATACCTGAGCTAATGAGCAGGACTCCTCTTTTTACTTTTTATGTTCTTTATTTTGTGTTTTTATAGACTTCACGTCTTATTTATTTATTTATTTATTTATTTTGCAGTACTGGGGATTGAACTCAGGACCCTGCGCTTATTCTACTGAGCTATCTTCCCAGCCCTAGACTCTAAGTCTTGAACGCTAATACATTACTTCCACAAGAAAGGCAAAACTGAAAACATAGCGGAAGATCAATCCAAGAGGCCTGAACAGAGTCATTTGGGTGAGGGCCCAGGGAGATAGCTCAGTAGAATAAGTGCCTGCCTGGCAAGCGCAGGGTCCTGAGTTCAATCCCTTGTACTGAAGAAGGAAAAAAAAAAAAAGTCCTTTGGATGATAGAATGGAATGGGAAAGTGTTGTGTATTCTATATAGTGAAAGTGTTGTGTGTTACACGTCAAAGTGTCAGGTGGCACTGTGACACCAAGTACAGAAGTGCTGCTGTGTTTATTGAAATTGAAGAGAAAGTATCTAAAGAGAAACTGAGGGGCTGGTGAGATGGCTCAGTGATCTAAAGCTCCTACTTAGAACAAGCTAAGCAAAAGCGCAGTGACTGCGGTTCAATCCCCAGCACTACATGCCAGCCAGCCCCGCCCCCTGGTGTGCTGAGCTGGCCACACACACACACCACACACACTAAATAAATAAATAAATAAATAAATTTTAAAAAAAATAAAGAGAAACTGAGAAAATATCATTCCCAGTTTTTGCAACTCTTTCTAAAGCAAATCATCTGACAATTGCCAGCTTTCACATTTCACTGTGGAAAAAAAAAAAACACGGCAAGCCCCTCTTTACTGGGATTTAGAAAAATGGCTGTGTGGTCTGGTGGTGGGTCCCTTTTTCTTTATTTTCCCAAACAAGGATAAAATCGTGCAACGCCTCTCTGAGGTGCTGCTTCACAGAAATACTATTAAAGTTCGGGCCTGCACACGGCAGGTGGTGTCAGTCAGCAGCTCACCCCTGACTCGCAAAGGCGGCCTGTTACTCCTCGTGCTCTGAGGAAACCAGGATGTCAATGACTGTGCCAGGCTAGCAGTGATTCGGTGCTGTGCTGTTGGTGACATCATGAGGGAAGAGCTGGTGACACTAGTGTCCTTGCCTGGAAGCACTCAAGGGGTTGGTATCTACAAAGCTGCAATGAGGCT